TTGCGTCATCTCCGCGCGTCCCTCCGCCCGCGGCGCCCAGCGGACGCGGTTGCACTTCCGGCCCCCGCCTCAAGGGGGAAGCAGCAGGCTGAGGAGAGCGGCGAGGGAGGCGGAGCATGCGCAGTGCGGCTCTCTCGACAGTTGTGGAGCCTGGACCTAAACTTATTTCCAGAATATCAGAACATAGCCAGCGCATTTATGTTCCAATCTGATCTTGCTCCAACTCTGCGGCACTTTTTCTGTTATCCTCACTTCATGGAGGAGAGGGAGGAGAAGTTAAGGGACGTGTCCAAAGTCAAACAACCTACTAAGCACCTATTGTGTCCCAAACACTGCCAAGAAGATAGGGTTAGTGAACAAAAAGCACAAAAATCCTGGCCTTCTGGGGCTTATCTCCTAGTGGAAGAGACAGATAAATAAGACATAACGCAAACTTTAGCAAGTGCTAAGGCGAAAAATTAAGGTTGGTGAGGGAAAGAAGAGAGATTATTATACTTGAACCTCAACTCTTACACACTCAGGCTGGTTACTTAACCTCTGGCTTTATTTTCCTCATCTGATCGTTCTGAGAACTAAGGAGATAAAACAATCTTTAGTGTCAAGCTACTTTTTAAGTTATAGCACTCAATTCCCACCACAACCCTACATGCTAGTTACTATTATCAGCTCCATTTGTAGAGATGGAGAAACCCAGGTCAAAAGAATATTTCAACATAGGCCTTCAGAGCATAAGTATCCTTATCTCTCCGTAAGGGCTCATAAATCTTACACACATGTGTGCACACACACACACAAACACACACACACAAACACATACATTTACACATCTTATACCAGCAGTGTCCAATAGGACTTTCAGCAATGGTATTCTCTATCTGTGCTGTCCAATAGGACAGCTAGTAACCTCTGGTGGCTCTCAAACACTTGAAAATTACCTAATGTGACTAAGGAAATAAAATCTTAGTTGTATTTAATTTTAATTAATTGAAGTTTTGACCCTGGTTGGTAGCTCAATTGGTTAGAGCACCATCCCAATATGCATGGTCTCTGATCAGCACACATATAAGAATCAACCAATGAATGCATAAATAAGTGAAACAACAAATCTCTCTCTCTCTCTCTCTCTCTCTCAAAAGCAACAAAAATAATTAAATGGTTGGTGAGGTCCCGGGCCCTGGGGCACTGGCATGTGGCTTATGGCTACTATACTGAACAGCTCAGTTGAGTGATATAGGCATAACACATAATATAGATGTAAGACAGTCACATATATAGTTAGTGGTAGAGCAGGGCTCCAAATAGCCTGAGTCCATCTACAGTACTTGAAACATGGGAAATAAAAAATGACTGTGTGAGTAGGGGGGTGGTGTGATGGGGGGACATGAGTACACAGATCAGATAACCTCCATGAAAGGGAAGGCAGTCCTAACTAAGGTAATCAAGAAAACCAAACACCTCTATATGTTTCCAGCAGTCTCAATCCAAATATGGTAGGAGTTTGATGACTCACACTGGAAATTCCAGATGGAGCTGCTCCAGAGGCAATATATTGTTTGAAGCTCTTATGGACAAAGAAACCAAATTCTCTAAGTTTAAGCTCAGAGGAGACCCAGGAGCAAAATATATGGCTCTATAAAAAATGAAAATTGCAAAATAGAATGTGTTTAATTAAATATCTCTAAGACCTATTTAATTGTTAGATTTAGTATATGTAAAAAATCCCTTTCATTTGAATGGTTTTCAAGGTTAGGTTTTCCAACTTTGTAAAAAGTTCCAATGTTAAGCAATGATTATTGAGAAAACCTAGACAACTTTAAATGTAATGAGCTATTCCTAGTCAAGTAATTACAAAAACTGACGTGAATAGCCAGTAAGAGGATCAACATGTGAAAAGAAGAAAGAGAAAAAAATAGCCTGGTCAGATAACAGAGCGCTCAGCACAACTGCTTCTGTGACAAAAACATGAAAATATGCTGGATGTTGTTCTTTCCTGAAAATAAACTTACTGGTGGAAACAATGTTTGAGATACTTCCTACATATATATGCTCTAGGAAAATAGCTAATGCTAAATATCAAATGCTCAGTCTCTTCAATTCAGGCTAAAATAGACTACGTTATTTTCCATTCTGGGATAGTTACCTGGGAGAGGTAGTTGGATGACACATGATTTAGTAAAGCTCTTCCATAGCCTACACTAGGAATTCAAAATCCTTCCCAATGAAATATATCCCAAACCTCACCATTTGTTTATATGGGGAGAAAAAATTGCACCCACTGGTATGACACCTATTCCTGGATGTTTAGTACCTTTCTTGCACGTGCATGTGTGGAGGGCATGAATTACTTCAACTGTTCAGTTGTGTGAGATGCACTCCAAAAACACTATGTGACATTTCTCCTTGTGTGATGATGGTGTGGAGAGGGGGTGTGGGTGAACTGTTCTTTCAACTCCCAGGCATACTTCATCAGAAACTGGCATAAAGACAAAGGGTCAGTTTCAAGAGGTACAGAAGAGTGGAAGCATTTAAAGAGGTTTTTTTTTTTTTTTTTTTTTTTTTTTTTAACTCTTTGTTCTGGATTCACTCTAGCTGTAACATGATCAGCACTTGCTCTCCTATACAGCCAGCAGGTATTCTGGGACAAAAGCTCAGGTTGATTGGCTAGAAACCTTATCCTTAAAGTCTGAGGCACCTAGTACTTCAATTGCTGTTAGACTGCCTTGATCCTGAGACACATTTGGGCATAATTTGGCATCTGGACTCAGTAATTTTCAAAGCCCTGAAATTGCTCACAGACAACATGCAGGTAAGTTTCTTATAATCTCTGAAGCATTTGCTATCTATTACAATAGCCTTTGAGGTGGCTGGGGTTTCTTCTATGTACAAATAATCAGCACTGAGAAAATGGAAAGGAATTCAGATTCTAATATCAGGACTTTGGTTTGGTTGTTTTTTCCTGTTCAACAGACATGGAAAAGTAAAAGATAGGAGTCAGGATTCTCTAGTGCAGTGGTTCTCAACCTTCCTAATGCCGCAACCCTTTAATACAGTTCCTCATGTTGTGGTGACCCCCAACCATAAAATTATTTTCGTTGCTACTTCATAACTGTAATTTTGCTACTGTTATGAATCGTAATGTAAATATCTGATATGCAGGATGTATTTTCATTGTTACAAGTTGAACATAATTAAAGCAGTGATTAATCACAAAAACAATATGTAATTATATATGTGTTTTCCGATGGTCTTAGGCGACCCCCAAAGGGGTCTCGACCACAGGAAACATTAAAGGAATTAAATCTCTGTTCATTGGTGCTTCCATCAACAGCACAAAGTGGAAGCGGAATAAAATGTTCGTTGGTGCTGCTCTAGTGGTTAAGAGCGAGCTTTGGAATTTGACATACTTGAGTTCAAATCATGGCTGTACTTAACCCCCTTACGCATTGAATGATCTTGGGCAAATTATTCAACAGCTCAATGCTCAGCTTAATTTTGAAAAACCTATTTGAAAGGGATATTGCCATGCTAAATGATTAAGGCATGCAACTGGGCCATGACAAGTGTTCAATAAGAGGTACCTATTATTATGGGAGGTTTTGTTGATGGAAGCACCAATGAACAGAGATTTAATTCCTTTAATGTTTCCTGGATCTATTATATTACAATACTGCATATACTCTTCTAAATGGAAAGTTGCCATCTCCTTTGATAAAGTGATGGAAGCTTGGCACCATTCCGTCCTAGATCTCTGAATGGGGTGCTAAGCAGAGAGCAGGAATTTGCCCATCTTGACAGACATGTCAGATGGATTAAGGAACATTGTCAAGACAATGTCAGAATCAAATATTAGAGTAAGTTGAAAAGTCATACTGGAATAATGTAAATGTTTGATAGTAGCCATCATGCAGTGGCCAACAAAAGCAACCATGTCATTGAAAAATAGCCCTTGACCTTTGTAATTAGAGAAGAAACTGATCCAAGAGCTTCAATTCCAGGAAGAACATCATGTATTTTCCTATAGGCTTTTAGCACAACGATGCCACTTGTTACTTTATATCCATGTGCCTATGTAGGACTCTTTGCTTTGACACAGAGCCTTGTATATAGTAAGCAGGCTCTCATCCAAACAGGCAAGAAAACAACCAACTAACATTTTATTCCGCTTCCACTTTGTGCCAAACACTAAACTCAGCACTACTGGAAAAGAGATAGGCATGATGCCTGCTGTCCAGAAGGCCATGATCTAGTTGGGGACAGATTAACAAAAACACTTAAAATAGTGTACCACTAAGTGTTGTAAGAGATATAGTGTTTGATGGGGGCAAAAACAGAAGTGGAGATGAAGGTTGAATGAACATGTGTCCTTTTCTTATTTAGGTGACATTCTGCAGACTTCGGACTCACCAGTGGTGTTTCATTCTGTTTAATGTTATCCTATTTCATGCCTTGTTTTTTGGGGCTGATTTTGTGGAAGAATACTTTCTGCATGCTTTGCCTTATGTAGATATGAAAGTTCTTGAAATTAAGGATAAGGCAAGAAAATTGAACATGGAGCCCCTAAGAAGTAATCTTTCCAAATATTATATCTTGAGCCAGTCGGAAGTGTGTAAAGGGAAGAACATATTTTTGCTCTCTCTTATCTTCAGTAGCCCCGGGAATCGAACAAGACGGGACCTCATCAGAAAAACCTGGGGTAACATGACCAGTGTCCAAGGGCATCCCATTCTCACACTGTTTGCTTTGGGAATGCCTATTATGGCAACTACCCAGCAAGAGATAGACAAAGAGTCCTATAAGTATAACGATATAATCGAAGGAATCTTTTTGGACAGTGCTGAGAACCAAACTCTAAAGATCATCACAATGACGCAGTGGGCTGTGACTTTCTGCCCTAACGCCTTATTCATTCTCAAAGTTGATGAAGATATGTTTGTCAATCCACTAAGCTTGGTAAATTATCTTCTCAATTTGAAAGAACACCTTGAAGATATCTATGTAGGAAGAGTTATCCATCAGGATATGCCCAATAGAGACCCTACTAGTCAAGAATTTGTCCCTCTTATTGAATACCCAGAAAAGTACTACCCAGATTACTGTAGTGGTGAGGCCTTTATTATGTCCCAAGATGTGGCTCGGATGATGTATATAGTTTTCAAAGAAGTACCCATTATGGTGCCTGCTGATGTGTTTGTAGGAATTTGTGCCAAGTTTGTTGGCCTTATACCCATCCACAGTTCAAGGTTTTCTGGGAAAAGACACATCAGATACAACAGATGTTGCTATAAGTTCATCTTCACATCTTCAGAAACTACTGATGCCGAAATGCCCTTGGCATGGAAGGAAATTAATGATGGGAAAGAATGTACACTGTTCGAAACTTACTCTGGACTCATTTCCTGCAAGCTTCTGACATACCTTGACAGCTTTAAACATTTTCATATTGGTAGCATAAAAAATGACGCCATGTATTCTGGTGATTAGGATTTCTCTTTCTTATACGTGTGTTCTTTTTAAATTAACCTCCAACCTTGTCACAGAAAGCACTCCTCCTTCTTTGTTTTATGTAGTTTTAATTGTACTCAGAAAGTTGCAAAGTTTTAGTGCCCCGATATACTACATCATATTGAAATCTCACTTCAAAGAATTTGAGTTGGTGTAGCATGACTCTTTTCCAAATAAAACCTCTCGTCCAGAAAAGTTAGAACATTAAATTTAATTACAACCAAAAGTCTGGTTTCTCTTTACAACTAGTGAATTTTAAAAAAATCATACTTATAAAACTCTCATGACTCAAGTGATAGCAGAGGTGACTAATTTTTGAGAATGATGTTAAAGAAAACGCAAAATAAGGAATTTAACAAATGTTCATCTTGTCTACAAACAGGAAACATTTTAGTAATCTGAGTGGCGGATTATATTCAATTTAAAGTTTTAGCTACTCTGTATATATATTAACTTAAACCTCACTAGTATAAAACTTGGGCCTCTAATGTTTCATGAAAAAGATTTTCATTAAGTACTAATTAGATGATTCATAGATGGGATGTTAACAAATTCATATTTTATGCTATGTATACACTCTGTATTAGTTTCCTAGGGATGCCAAAACAAAGTACCACAAATAGGGTGACATGAAACAGCAGAAACTTACTCACTTGAAGTTCTAGAGAAGTCTGAAATCAGGTTGTCAGCAGGGACATGCTCTCTCTGAAGCCTGTAGTGGAGAATCCTTCCTTGTCTCTTCTAGCTTTTGGTGGTTGCCAGCAATCCTTAGCTTACAGATGCATCACTTTAATCTCTGCCTCCATCTTCACATGGCTGTCTCCTGTGTGGCTGTGACCTCATATATGTGTTGTGTCTGTGTCCAAACTTACCTTTTATTTTAAGGACATCAGTCATTGGATTAGGGCCCATCCTAATGATCTCGTCTTAACTTGATTATTAGGAGTTTGTTTCCCTTTCTCTGATCAACTCAATATTGACTTGATGAATTTGAAAATTTAAAAGCAAAACCCTCAACAATGAGACCCACCAATAAATAAAGACAGTCTGGGGACCTTTCTGAGTTATCATGTTATCATTCCTCCCCCCACAAAACCACAAGAGAGTAAAATTCATTGACAAATATAAAAAAAGCATCGAAGAATACTAGAAACATTTTTTATAATTTATTTTCAAAGGAAATATAGTAACAACAAAAAAGAAAAAGAGACCTTTTCAAAGTATTTATTCTTATTATAGAGAACATAATTTTGAGATCCCATGTAGCTTGTTTTTCAAAGAATAATTTTATCCAAGACTTTGTAAGTAGAACCAGAAGAGGGGAAAGAAAAAAAAAAAAAAAGATGGCGAAGAGAAACAATTTAGTTCTATTTTAGTTCAAGCAAATTTTATTTATTTATTTGTTTGTTTATTTATTCTCACTAGAGGAATATGTTTATTGATTTTAGAAAGAGGAAGGGAGAAACATTGATTGGTTGCCTCCCATATGCAACCCAACCAGTGATCAAACCTGCAACCCAGGTATGTGCCCTGTCTGGACTCAAACCTGAAACCTTTTGGTGTACAGGACGACGCTCCAACCAACTGAGCCACCTGGCCAGGGCTAAAGCAAACTTTTAAAAAAGACAGTAAGTCCACAAGTTTTCTGGGAGAACAAAACTTCCATCTTCTTGTAAACAGTAAGGCAGTCAAATGAATGTGAAAAATATGTTTCAATTATAACCAAGTTTGTGCTCTCTTGGTTTCACATTGTACTTTATGTAGAAACACAACAAATGCTGGTGATAAAATTAGGTTCAACACACTACGATAATTCTGGGGGGAGAGAAGTCTCTGTTTAGTAAAATACAGAGAGAGTCAAATGCCTTAGGAGAAGTTTTGGTCCAAAAATGATTTAGACTCTAGAAGAAATCACTCAGCTCCTTCCACTGCTGTTGTGGAAATAGGTTTCACATAGTATGGACCTTCACTCACATAAGTTCTGAGTCTCAAATAATATGGGTTCCCAAAGATTTCTGCAATTGTCTTGGAATTCGCGAGTGCTTTCACCAGTTCATATTTGGCATCCTTTGAAGCTTTGTCATGCTCTATGGACCGGTCCATCACATACTCTACAAAACCTGGACTGTTAAACATAAGTTTCTGAGCCCAGGGTTGGTTTGCAATGGCCTGAAATGGAAGGCAGAGAGAACACAATTCCTTTGAGGCTTAAGAAATTAAGTTTGTTAGTCGGATGGCACAATCTTTAGAAAAAAATTTGGCAACACGAACCTTAAAAATGTTAATGTTTTGCCCAAGTAAATTCCCTCCTGGGAATCTAATTTAAGAAAATTTAAATGTTAAAAGTCTTTGTATACAAAGATATTCATTATAGCCCTAGCCGGTTTTGCTCAGTGGATAGAGCATTGATCTGCGGACTGAAGGGTTCTGGGTTCGATTCAGGTCAAGGGCACAAGCCTGGGTTGTGGGCTTGATCCCCAGTAGGGGGCATGCAAGAGGCAGCTGATCAATGATTCTCTTTCATCATTGATATTTCTATCTCTCTCTCCCTCTCCCTTCCTCTCTGAAATCAATAAAAATATATTTTTTAAAAAGATATTCATTACAGTGCGACAGTTACAGTATAAATGTCTAATAGTGAGGGGATGGTAAGTAAATTATAGTATACAGAAATACAAAAATGAAATAAACATTAAGAATATTTATTTAAAAATAGATAAATTGGTTATATGGTAAATGCTAGGACTACAAAGATAAATCAGGTATGGTTCCTATTCTCAACAAACTCTGTTTAATAGGTCAATAAATAAACATTTTCAACATAATGTAATAAATAGAACACAGAGGTATAATCCTTACCACAACTCTAATTATATAATGAGCTATACAATTATATTTACTGTCTGGGTCCCTCAACAGACAGTGAGCTACATGAAAGGAAGGTCTTGTATATTTTTCTTAACTATTGTATCCCTAGCACCTAGCAAAAAAACCTCACCAAAAACTCAATCAATATTTGCTGAATGTGCCCGGCTGGCGTGGCCCAGTGATTGAGTGCCAACCTATGGATCAGGAGGTCATGGTTCGATTCCTGGTCAGGGCAAATGCCCGGGTTGCAGGCTCAAACCCTAGCAGGGGCTGTGCCGGAGGCAGCCGACCAATGATTCTCTCATCACTGGTGTTTCTAGCTCTCTCTCCCTCTCCCTTCCCCTTTGAAATAAACAAAAATATATTTAAAAAGTTTTTGCTGAATGAATACATGCAAAATATGAGAGCCAACATTTCTTCACTCAACCTTGTGGAGATACCTGATCAGTCCTTGAAGTATGAATAAGATGTTAACAAGCAAAGTTAGGGAAGAATGTTTAAAGCAGAGGGCACGTGAAGGCCCAGAGATATGAAGCAAGCAGTTTGGTATCACTAGAGCATTAAGTGCCAGAAGGGGAATGGCCATAAATAGGGCTCATGAAGAAGACTGGTTAGGACAATAAGGGCTTACTTGATGGTAGATAAGGAATCTGGAATTAATTCTGTGAACCCATAGTACTCTGTGCTCTGCCACAGCATCTTGTGTATCCCTGGGACACGGCAGAGTGCCTGGCTCACTGAAAGTACTCATGTGTTGAACAGAGTCCCAGAAGAACCTGGGGAAAAGAAGGGGTTGCCTACCGTGAACACTTTTAAGGCACCACAGTGTAGTTCAGGAAAGGGTTGATTACTGATGCCACGGAAGAGCTCCAGCGGGTCCCGATATAAAGAAGAGAACCAGGATTCTGTCATCCTCAGGAGGTCATCAGTCTGCTGCTCAGGCTACAGGACGGAAAAGAAAAATCGCAAGACATCTGGAAGTCAGGAAACACAGCACTCTGTCATTAACTTGCTGTGTGATCTCTGCCAAGTGTGGAGCACCTTCCCCCAAACCCAGCCCATATTTTATCAGGTTTTTTGTTTGTTTTTTAATGAGGTTGATTAAGCAATATCTAGGGGCTGGTCCAGTTCCAATATTCTGTGATTCCACTTTAACTTAAAAAATGTCACTAGTCATATAATGAGGGCTATACTCTTTTACTAAGAGTAAGAAAGATGGCATTTATCTGATCAACATTTATATTAAATTAACCAGTATTATGTTAACTCATACAGATTTATTCTCCCAAGTACATCCCACTATGTTTCATTAACTTCCCACTCTACTTACTGGTAAATAAAGAATAGATGAAACTGCATCCAAACACCTAATTTTGAGCTCTGTTGAGGCATTCTTTGCTTGATATCCTATTCTCTTCAGTAAGCGTTCAAATCGAGTTCCTTTGAAGGATAATGAGATAGTTTTGATTGTCACAAAATACAAATAACGTGAAACTTACCATTTTAACCATTTTTAAGCATATAGCTCAGTGGCATTAAGTACATTCACATTGTTATGCATCCATCACCACCATCCATCTCCAGGACTTTCATTATTTCAAACTAAAAGTTGTACTCATTAAATAATAACTCCCCATTCCCCAATGTCCCCACTCCCTGGTGACCACAATTCTACTTTCTGTCTGTGTATTTGACAACTTTAGGTACTGTATAAGTGTAATTATACAGTATGTATCCTTTTGTGTCTGGCTTATTTCACTCAGCATGTCTTCAAGGTTTTTCCTTGTAGCATGTATGAGAATTTCATTCATTCTTAAGGCTGATTAACATTCCATTGTATGTATATACCACATTTTATTTATCCTTTCATCCATCAACGAACATGAGTAATTTCTACTTTTTGGCTATTGTGAACAATAGCTATTAATGAACACAGGTGTACAAGTATCTATTTGAGTCTGTTTTCAATTATTTTGGGTATATACATAGAAGTGGAATTGCTGGATCATATGGTAATTTTATGTTTAATTTTTTGAGGAACCACTAGTTTTCCACAATGGCCACACCATTTACATTCCCACCACATATATACAAGGATAAAATACAAGTAACATAAAATTTTCACATCCTTGTCAACACTTGTTATTTTCTTAAATAATAGCTATCTTAAATGAAGAAAGAGGTTTTTTTAAAGTGTGCTTTGCTTTCATATACTATGACCTCCACCAACTTAAACCAATATAAAAATAAACATGTAGTCAGAGACAAAGTGAGAAGGCTACAGCACACATTCATATGCAATACAGCATATATAAGTAAAAGTGTGGAGGAATAGGAATCAAAGGATCTGGATTTGAGTAGCAGCTGCTACACAGTCTGTATGATCTTAGAAACTTTTCTTAACTTCTCTGAGTTTCAACTACCTTATCTATAAAATGAGAATGACAATAGTATGTTCTTTGAAGGATTGTAAAAGGGTTCTGTCATAGGAAAATGCACTCAAAAAAGTACATATAACAAGGATACTAACTGTGATGCACAACGGTATATTAATTTTGAACATACACTTCACACAAGGGTTTTAACAGTGCCACCAAATTGTGCCAAATTCAGTGCTTTCAAGATACTCATGGATGTTCGATAAAAGTACCACATTTTAAAAAATGGGTTTATTGATTTTAGAGAGAGAGGAAGGGAGGGAAAGAGAGAGAAACACTGATCTGAGAGAGAAACATCCACTGACTGCCTACTGGGGATCAAGCCAGAAACCCAGGGATGTTCTTGACCAGGAATTGAACTAGCGACCTTTTGGTGCATGGGACAAACACTCTTCCAACTGGGCAACACTGGCCAGGGCAAAAGTATCTCTTAACATGACATCTTGTAATAATTTTTCCCTGGTCCTTGACATTACAGGTATAAAAAATCTATCTTTTCATTAAATATTCACAACAACCCTGAGAAGTAGTTGTTATACCCTTTTTTAAAAATGAGGAAAATGAAATACTTTCAACAATAAAGATTTGAAAAAAAAAGAGGAAAATGAGGCCTACAGTAGTGAAGCAAATACAATTAAAGAAGCTAAGTCAGTGAAAGAACCTAGTTCTTCCTGACTCCAGCCCATCATCTTTTTACCATGAATATTATTTAAGGAAGATGCAGCGGGAAAGAGTGCTTGCTCCAGCCAAGTTCAAAAAAATATTCACTAATAATTATGAGACTTTTTAGGAATGAGTCCAAGGTCGTGGTAAAAGATTGCCATATATAAAAGCAGTTTTAACAATGCAATTAATGTACCAGCCAACAAACTTACATATTGAATCCTGGCTCAGTGGATAGAGCGTCGGCCTGCAGACTGAAGGGTCCCAGGTTTGATTCTGGTCAAGGGCACATGCCCATGTTGCAGGCTCAATCCCCAGAAGGGGGTGCGAGGGAGGCAGCCGATCAATGATTCTCTCTCATCATTGATGTTTCTATCTCTCGCTCCCTCTCCCTTTCTCTCTGAAATCAATAAAAATATATTTAAAAAAAAAAAAAAGGATATCCCTGCCCTGGCTGGTGTAGAAAAGTTAGTTGAGCATCATCCCCTGTACTGGTCAGGGCATGCAAGAGGCAGCCAATTGATGTTTCTCTCTCCCTTCTTCTCTCTCTAAAATAAATAGACATATTAAATAAAAACTTTAAAAATTAAGATATCCTTAAAGAAAGCTAAAACAAGTCATACCAACCTGTCTTCTGTAAAACCTGTTTTCCTTCAATATTGGATCCCAGGATTCCAATTGTGTCCACTGCTACGCCAATCATGGTGGGGTCCTGACTTTCTGTCATTTCAAAGACTTTTTCCACAAAAACTGGAAAACGCTCGCAGATCTGTTGAGGACTATCCATGATGGCCAAGTTCCCAAAAAACTTCACAAATCCTAGAGATATTTACAAAAATGTATTTTAATAGGGGAAGAAGACAGCATAAATTGCAGGTCCTATGTTTCCACAGGGACAGTAATAAACTATTACTGTGAAAGGCTATAGTACTATGTTGTCTTGAAATGAGACAGACCATAAGGAAATATTGAAGGACCTAAAAAGAGTGGTCCCAGGGTGTTAATGGAGCTGGGTGAAAAAAGCATTGTCACAAGCAAGAGGGAGAACAAAGAACAAGGATCAGTGGATACAAATCACAGGAAGGTAAGTTTGGAGTTATTATTAGGAAGAAATTTTAAAGCAGATTTTCTTCAATCAAGTAATCTAGGCTACCTAATAAAGGAATAAATCTCCAATTTCTGGAAATGCTCAAGAAAAACTAATCAATCATGTCCTTGAACAGAATAGCTGGAATAGTTCCTGTATTAGCTAAAGATTACAACTCAAAGATTTGATGAATCTGTGAATATACTGTAAATATCACTACTAGTATTTTAATTTATGTTTCTTATAGCTGAGATGCACAGGAAACAATCCTAATGATCTAAACAGTAGTATTTCCAGAAAATCAGAATCAATACTGCAATGGCTCCCAGAGCAATAGATTCTACCTCATTAAGGGGCTATGAGTTGGGTATCATCTCAAGGGAATAAGCTCTAAAGATGATGATCCTTGGTCTGCCCTGACAGCAATAACTCAGAAACAAAACATGCGCCATCATTTCCACAGGCATCAATATTTCTTACCTGGTAAATAGAAGCTAGAAAAAGGGTCTGAATCTGCCCCAATAATTATATTAGATATCTGATCAATCACTCCTTCTTGAGCAAGGTACTGTCGTCCATGATGAGTATATGCCATTGACGTCACCATTTCTATACAGGTAGCTCTGAAATGCCAAGATTTTGCATATGATTAGCATGGTTTAGGAATTGTTTTCATGTAAGTTATCTTATTTAATTCTTCCCATGAAATCTGAAAGGTCAATAATCCTGGCTCTACTTTTCACATGAGGGTACAGGATGAGAAAATTGCAGTGACTTGTCCGGAATCACATCTTTATTACAAGGTACAGTTTAGACTTAAATCTTGACTTTCTGACTTAAGGTGCACTTATTATTTCTACTATAATAAAGCTACTCCTAAGAGATTTTTAAAAAAACTTTTGTTTTATCTTGATATGTCAAACATATACAAAAGTACAGAGAACAGAACAGTAAGCCCCCAGGTAACCATAATCCTGATTATATAGTTATCAAGATTTTGCTTTTCTTATTTCATCTATTTTTTTTACTGAATTATTTTAAAATCAGTTCTAGTCATTTTGCCATTTACCCCTGCATACTTTAAAACATCTCTAAAACACATGTTTTCTCACACAATTATAATGCTTTTACCACATATTTAAAAATTAATAGTAATTCTTTGGTATCACTTAATACCCAAACATTATCAAATTTTCCCAATTAACTAAAAAACTATTTGTAGGTGTTTTTTTTTATGTCATAAAATCTGATACAGAACTAAAAAATTAACAAAATTAATTTCCAATGCTTTGAAAAAGTGTAACTGGTGTCTGATTTTTGCATATGAGTTTAACAATTTTGGTCACATTTAAAAAACACAGGACAATCAACAAATCACTTAAGGAAAACAAACTTCTGTATACACAAAGATAACTACAGTGCTATTATAACAGCAAAATATTTGAAGCACACTAAGTGTTCAACAGTGAGGATATATTGGTAAATTGTGGAATATCAACAAGGAAACATTTGACAAGGGGGTTTAGAGAATAGAGTACTGGGAGTGAAAAGATTGGAATTAACATTTCTTTGAGGACCTATGTCAGCCACTGTCTTGGTCTCTATGATAAATGCACTTAATCCTCATATTACCTTCTTTATAGATTTGCCATTGTTACATTTAGATGAGGTGCAAAACAGTTACAATAATTTGTCCAAGGTCAATCAGCTAATAAGCAGAGATGCATGTAAGCCCAAGTCTTACTCATGTTTAAAAGTCCATGTTTTCTATCATGCCATAGTGCTATTTATTTAACACCAAAAAATGTGTATGGTAGCACATTAAGTAATGCAAAATGGCAGTTATGTGATTACAAATTTTTAAAAGCAGGCAGGAAGCCCAGCTGGTGTGACTTAGTGGTGGAGCATTGACCTATGAACCAGGAGGTCACAGTTCAATTCCTGATCAGAACACATTCCTGGGTTATGGGCTCAATTTCCCCAGTGTGGGGCATGCAGGAGTCAGCCAATTTTCTCTCAACATTAATGTTTCTCTCTCCCTCTCTGAAATCAAGTTAAAAAAAATATGGTTTGTTTTTTTTTAAAGCAGGCGTGTATGCCTAAGGACAGGGAACAAAAGTAGCTGTATTACCCTAGCTGGTTTGGCTCAGTAGATAGAGCATCAGCCTGCAGGGTCCCGGGTTCAATTCCGGTCAAAGGCACACGCCGGAGTTTCGGGCTCAATCCCTAGGATGGGGCGTGCAGGAAGCAACTGATCCATAATTCTCCCTCATCATTGATGTTTCCATCTCTCCTTCTTTGAAATCAATAACAATATATTAAAAAAAAAAGTAGCAGTATTCTCATATGGGGCTCTACTAAGTTCCAGTATGTTGTCACAATATCACTTGAGCAATTTTCTAAAGGCCCTTTCTTCAGAACATACTTTGTCATGAGACTGCAACCTAGGCACAAGCTCCACTAGGGAAGATAAGTCGAAAGTTTGTTTTCTGGCCCTCCAAAGGAGGACACTATGCTCTAAGAACTCTCTCAGCCAACATACCTGACCAGCACATCTTCCCCAGTCAGCTCTCTGAGAAGCTGGGTTACCAACCCACTGGTGGAACAGTAGTTTAGAGATTCTGGTGACACAGAAGAGATCTCCACAATTAGCTGAAAGAACAGAAAAACAGAAAGGTCAAAACAACCCCAAACTTGTTAAATCTCATTTTATGATAAATGCAGGATTAGGCACTTTATAGGAAATTTAAAAAAATATATATTACATGTATTTATCTCCACAAGTAGGAAAATTTCACTGAACAAATAAGAAATTATTTTGGGCCCCGGCCAGGGGGCCCAGTTGGTTGGAACGTCATTTCATACACCAAAAAGTTGCAGGTTTGATTCCTAGGCAGGGCACACACCTAGGTTGCCAGTTCAATTCCCAGTTGGGGCACGTATGGGAGGCAGTCGATAACACTCCATTATATCTGGGTGTATGTGCACTTTTTACAAAAGAAATTATTATCAAGGTACAAAAGCCTGAATCAGCAACAATAAAAAGATTGCAAAAATCATTCATTCATCCATGCCTGCATTCTATCTGTCAGTCATTCACTTACTCATTTATCAAGTATGTTCTACGGGCTTACTAGAGAATTTCAAGCAGAGAAATGACAGAACCAGATTTTGTTTTTTGTTTTTAAATCCTCACCTGGGAATATGTTTATTGATTTAGTAAGAAGAAACATCGATCGGTTGCCTCCCATACATGCCCTGACCGGGCATCAAACCGGCAACCTAGGTATGTGCCCTGATGAGGAATTGAATCCACAACTTCTTGGTTAAAAGATCATGCCAACTACATGTTAAGATAGACTAGTAGTGACAAAAATGGACGAGACTAGTTTGGATGCAGTTAAAGTAGTTCAGGTGAGAGATCAGTAGCTTAGACTTGGGCGCTACTGGCTTTATCAAGGAAGACAAATGCTTGGGTTTAAGAAAAACGGACACAACGTGATGACTGAATGGATATGTGGCCAAGAGAACAAAGCCTCAAAGAGAATGAGCTAGAGGTGTAATAGCCAACTGCATGGACTATGAGACAGGGCCAGTTTGTTGTTGCTGTTTTTTTTATTAGAGGCATGAAGTGGCTAGAAAAGATCATGAGTTTGGTTTAAACATAGGTGTGAGGGGCCTAGAATATGTCCAAGGAGAAGAGAGTTAACAGTTGGACATGAAGATCTGAGCTCAAAAGAGAGATAGGTCTGGGTTGGAGGTTTACATTTGGAAGTCATCACCATTATTGGTCGGCACTGAAATCACAGGATGAATAATATTGCCTAAAAATGGATACAGAGCCTTGACTGGTTTGACTCAGTGGATAGAGCGTCGGCCTGCGGACTGAGGGGTCCCGGGTTTGATTCCGGTCAAGGGCATGTGCCTTGGTTGCGAGCGCATCCCCAGTGGGAGGTGTGCAGGAGGCAGCTGATGGATGTTTCTCTCTCATCGATGTTTCTGACTCTCTATCCCTCTCCCTTCCTCTCTGTAAAACGTCAATTAAAACATATTTAAGAAAAATAAAATAAAAATGGATACAGATTACAAGGAGACGAGAGCCTGGGATTCTGCCTTCACAAACCCCAACAATTAATAGCTCAATAGATAACAAGCCAGGAGACTTAGAAGAAACAGCTAGAGAGGCAGAAAGAAAATCAGTATGAAGGCATACAAAGTAAGCTCTGAAGAGGGAATTAGACTGTAGAGGATTTGTTTTAAATATGCAGCCTAGTAATTGTGTGGCCTTGGGTCAATTACTCCATTAATAGTGAGGTTAATAATAATGGTATATAGGGATTATTGTGAGAACCAAGACAATACATGTGAGGATTTAGCACAGGACTCAGTACAAAGCTGGTAAAAATGGGAACCATTTCTTCTTACTACTACTACTACAACTAAGTGTTTCAAAGTCTAGTTCCAATGGTATCTACTCTACTGTAGTACTTAATAAAGCAGTATACATATTTTTATGACTGTCTCACATACTAGGTGGAGAGTTCATCCTATATCCCCAGTACCCAGTATAAGGCCTAACACAGACTATATACTCAATAAATGCATGTTAAATGACCCATCTTGCCTTCAAAGGTAACTCTTCCTGCATTCTGAATCGTAGGCATCAGAAAGTGTGCTTTTCATCTTACCTCATAGACCCTATATCGAACAATATCATTTGTTTTCATTACAGTTTTCAAATCATCCAGCAGATTGCTTTCAAATAAAGCCTCCAGTCCAGCTTGGGTCAGTGATATTCTTGACAGGGATTTAATGGCCTTATAAGGAAAGAAAATATCTCTTAATTCATAAAAACACAAAATAGTAATATCTACTGCATAAGACTGATGTGAAAATTAGTGTCTTGAATGCACCTTGTCCCATGAGCATTCACTATGTTTTAATTATTACTATTTATAATTGGAAAAGATACACAGCATTCTCAACAGAAAATAATTATGTAAGTTTTGCTTCTTAGGAAGTAACCCAATGTAAACCCTATGACCGATAACTCAGATATGTGTACTCTAGAAAGTAGAAGTTTACTAGTACTTATTCAACACCATTTATTTATTTGACACCATCTATATGAAGCTGCAATTACACAATCATCTCTTCTAAACTTCCACCTCTCAATCCAGAAAGCCTTTCTTTGTCGTTTAAGACACTAATACCTCTGCATGTTCAAGTGGATTGTTGCAGCTGACTCACCGCTTTAGCTACAGATAGATTGTCTCCACCAATACAATAAATGACTTGTTTTAGTAATTCAGGATTATTTAGAACCTCAGTAACAGCATCAGAATTTTCAACAATTCTTCCAACCTGAAAGAAAAAAACAATCAGAAATACTCTTCCAAGGTACGGCAACAAATGAACATCTGACGGTCAAATTACCTTAGTGTACAGTTATTCTAATAGTTACTGATTACAACTACAAGACAAGTCATTAAAAATTCCAAATAACCCACATTCATTAAAGCCAAGCACACAATGGCATAGTCATATCTATGAAAGAAAAATAAAAAAATAAAATGGGTAAAGAGTTGAGACACCTCAGTGAGTGAAAACAATAAAATTCCTAGTTCTATTCCCTTTTAGCTAAACTGAAACCCTGGGCAAGTAACTTCTCTGAGCCTAATTTCTTATCTGTAAAGTGGGAATATAATACTTAAGTACAGGATAGTAATGAAGATTAAATGAGACTAAGTAGGTAAAGCACATACTACAGTGTCTGGCACATAAATGATAAATTGATATTTTCCCCAATCTGTTGAATAAACATTTTAGAGGAGAAAAGGAAAAACAGTAATTGAATACCTATTGGATAAACTAACTGCTCAGATACTAACATTCTCAGCAGCAGTTCTTCACCCAAATAGTAGCATGTTTTGACTACCAGAGTGATAAGAACTGTTTTAATTTGTTGGTTTAGGAACCTTTACAACAGAACTTTGTTCATGCCAGTATAACAACATGACTTAACATGGCAATCTTTTTCTCTAGACTAGGGGCTCCTCTAAGGAAAGAAATAAGTTTTTATTTACCTTAGTAGCTCTAACAACATATGGTACAGTGCCTGGCATGTAAAAGTAACTCAGTATTTGATGAATGAATACTGCCGATGGTACTTAGAACTTCTTACTTTAACTTGTATCCCCCTGGTCATAGTTAGCTATGTACACTCGAATAGACTAGACCAATGGTCGGCAAACTCATTAGTCAACAGAGCCAAATATCAACAGTACAACGATTGAAATTTCGTTTGAGAGCCAAATTTTTTAAACTTAAACTATATAGGTAGGTACATTGTTATTAACTTAATTAGGGTACTCCTAAGCTGGCCTTTGCTAAAAACGTCCTCAATCTGATTGAGGTACATTCGCTGAGTCGACCCCTTCCAACTCTCCCATCCACACTCGTCTTGTATACTTGTTTCACCCAGGCCAAAAACCGACTTCTGCCCACGGGCCACGAAGTGCGCGCCCGCATGTGGTATTTTGTGGAATAGCCACACTCAAGGGGCCAAAGAGCCGAATGTGGCTCGTGAGCCGCAGTTTGCCCACCACTGGACTAGACACTCCCTAGGGACAGCGAGAGATCATGTTTTCTTCATCTCCCTGCACAGAAACTCGCCCAGAGCAGGTGGTCACTAAGGGTTGGTTCCCTTATTATGTGCTAGCAAGATTTCATACCTGGGATAGAGTGAGGATTTTTACGGAATCATTGGGGTGAGTCAGTCCCCTCTGCAGGTCAACCCTGAAGTTCCGAGCCACGTGAACTGGCTCCAGAGCCTGGAGCAATCTCTCCAGAATGGATACACACAAAGTGGTCTGTTCCCTAAAGGAGATACCATAGACCTCATTAGTTCATGTCCTTTCAGGTAGAAGGGAATCTAATAATATCTGACCCCTGGCTCAATGAGGATCTCCACACAGACTTCTCTTCAAAACATCAGCTTCTACTTTAACATTAAATGTTCATTAAACATTTACCACGTACCTATTATGTGCCATGCCTGTGCTGGGGCTACAAAGAATGATAAGATATATTCTATAACCACAAGGAGCTCAGTCTAATGGAAGATACAGAAAAATAGGCAACTATAATCCAGTTAGATAAAGGCTAGCTTAAAGCTGGGAGCTGTGGGAACTCAGTAAAGAACAAAGGAAACAGGGTATACCTGAGCAAATTTTTAAGTTACCCAAGAGAAGAAAGGTAAAGGGCATAGTAGCACATGAAAAGGCACAGAGTGGTATGCATTCAAGGAACCACAAGTAACTTGGTATGACTGGGATCAGAAAGGGAGAGAAATGGGAAGAAGGTAGGTAAAAGGAAAAAGATGAATGTCAAGAAATGAAATTTTAAAAAATGCACAGCAATCAGATTTTGATTGGTCTTTTATGTCCTGCTATGGAATTTCACCTTTTCCCAGACGGCAATGGCAAGTCAAGATGGGCTTTTAAAGCAGAATTAACATGATGAGATCTGACTTCTAGAAATCACTCTGTCAGTGTTAGAGAAAGAATTTTCAGTTAGAAGTTTATGTTGAGGTGATGAAGGAATGAAAGAGGTTCAAGAAGCTATTAAAGAAGTAAATTAATCAAAACTTGATGACTACCAGATGTACATTCAGAAGGTGTTTCAAGAATAACTTCTTTGTCTCTTAATAGGCAGCAAAGGCAACTGAGCACTCATACATTGCTAATAGGAAGCACACTATTAAATTGGTATGATCTTGCTAAAAGGCGATCAAGTAATAAATAGCAAAAGCCTTAAAAATGAACATATCCCCAAGATCACTGAAAACATGTTCACACAAAAATTTGTACACGAATATTCATAGCAGTGGAAACAACCCAAATGCCCATCAATTAAATGCATAAATGTGGTATATCCACACAAAGGAATATTCCTCACAAAAAGGAATGAAGTACTGATGCATGCTACAACATGAACCTTGAAAATATGTTAAGTGAAAGGAGCCAGACACAAAAGGATTCCTTTTGACAATGATTCCATTTACATGAAATGTTCAGAATAGACAAATTCAGAGGCAGAAAGCAGATCACTGGCTGCCAGAACCTGCAAGTGGATGAAAGGGGGAAGGGGAGAGACCGCTAAAGGGTTTCTTTTCCTTTAAAAAAAAAATTGCGGTCCTGACTACGTAGCTCAGTTGGTTAGAGTGCAGTCCCCATATACCGAGGTGGCAGGTTTGATCTCCAGTCAGCTCACATACAAGAATCAAGTAATGAATGCATAAATAAGTGGAACCACAAATCAATGTTTCTCTCTCCAAAAATCAATCAATAAAAATTGCAATTGTACAGACCATAAAATTTACAATTTTTACCATCTTTTTCACTGATTTCGGAGAGTGGGAGAGAGAGAGAGAGAGAGACAGAAATATCAATGATGAGAATCATTGACGGACTGCCTCCTGCATGCCTCCTCCTGGGGATGGAGCCCGCAACCTGGGCATGTGCCCTGACCGAGAATCAAACTGTGACCTGGTTCATGGGTCAATGGTGTGACCGGGCCCATTTTAATCTTTTTTTTTTCTTTTTAAAAATTTATCTTTATTATTGAAAGTATTACAGATGTCCCCTTTGTTTCTTTTTTCCCCCACTGACCCCCTCCACCCCACTCCTAGGCCTTCACCACACTGTGTCTGTGTCCATGGGCTATGCATACATGCATATCATAATTCCCCGATTTATCTCTCCCCACCACCACCTAGCCTCTGAAATTCCTCAGTCTGTTCCATGCTTCTATGTTTTAACCATTTTGTAAGTACAGTGCTGTGGCATTAAGTACATTCACAGTGTTGTGCAGTCATCACCAGGATCCAACTCCGGAACTTTTTCATCTCCCATTGAAACTGAAACTGCATCCATGGAACACTGACGCCCCATTTTCCCTTTCCCTCAGCCCCTGGCGACCATTCAACTTTCTCTACGCATTTGACTACTTTAGGTACCTCATGTAAGTGGGATCCTACAATATTTTCAAGTAGAAAAGTTTTGGATCACAAGTATTTTTTAACTCTTCTAAATTACGGAATACAAAGTATACCTGCATGTTAAATTACTGGACCAAATGGTGTATGAATCTAAAATGTTGATGGATCTAGCAAAATTGCCAGGATAGGACTCCTCCTGAGGAGAAAAAAAGTCAAGCACTGGTGCACAAAGACTGTGGAGTCCTCCCTGCGGGCGGGAAACCTTGCTTCCCCGCCCTCAAGTCCTACTTTAAGGATGAAGGCAGTGAGGCCAGGGGGTGGTCAGGGGCACAGCTCGGGGGCTGGGCTTGCACCCCATTTCTTGCCTCTCAGCCTAGGGTCCTTCCCTCTCTGAAATTTCAGCTTTTTTTTTTAAACCTTTATTTGCGACTGGGTAAAGCCCTCCCTCCATCCCAGCCGCTCGCGTCTCCACACTTGGCGGAGTCTCCCCGTCCGCCTCCCCCCACCCCCACGCCGCTCAAGCTGCGGGGTCCTCTCACCGATGGTTCTCAATGAGCAGGGAGAAAAGCGGACTCAGGCGCAGTTCCGCCGCGTGCTCGCGGAGCTCGCTGAGCGGCACCGCCTGCAGCACCGACTGAAGCGCGCGCAGCTCCTCCAGCGGCGCTTCCAGCCGCGACACATCCCTCAGCAGCGACAGCGCCTGGGCCGCCATCATGCCTCCTTCAGCAGAAAGGGGCTTGCACGACCGCCTTCCCGGCTCCCGGCTCCAGGATCCCGGCGGGATTCTCCGAGTCTCGCGAGATCTGAGGGACGCAACCTCCCTTCGCTGAATATTGGCTGTGACTGTGAACCGTCCGGCCTCCGCAGTAGCGAGGCGGAGCTGGCGGACCGCGCACGGTCCAGGTATTCCCAAGCCTCGCGAGATGTGGGTCCGTGAGAGCCAAACCAATGATCGTTCGTGGTTGCGGGGTCGCAGAGCGGCGTCCTCTCAGGCGCTGCTCAATTGGCCGTGCGGTCATACGTTTCCCGGCGGCTGGCGTAGTTCCCACGGAGCGCGGAGGCGCCACAAATGCCTGGCAAGCGGGGTAGTGAGCGTGAGAACCAACTGAAGGTTAAGCGATCTCGCGAGCCGCCTCCCGGCTCTCAAATCACGCTCTCGGCATCGGCCCGGGCGGGCGTGGGAGTGGCCCCTGCGATCTGGGCAGCAAATGAGGCTACTCCAGGCGGAGCGGAGGCGATGGGCCTCATCCCGGGTTAGAGGAGGCGGAGAGCCATGCCTCTGGAAGACACGATGAAAAGTCTCTAGACGTTGAAAGAAGGCGTAACGCCGACGTGGGGCGCTTTTTGGGCGTCAATGCGTCAACGATGCTCACTCACTATTGAGAAAAACAAGAAGGCCATCACGGAGTGTTTCGCCCCTCTTCTCTACTGCACTCCCCGGGGTGTAAACATCAAGAAGATGGAGACCGAGTTAACCTTTTAGGTCAAGGACGGGATCAGATGGTAGAGGGTGGGAACGGGAGGCGGGAGAGGGAGAGGGGAAGGAGAGAGACAGTTCCGAAGCTGAAGGCCATCTGTAACCATCCCAAATGCAGTACAAGCGTCTGGTGGAAACCACTAGGAAGGGCAACCCAGATAAATTTCATGGGGAAATGGGGTGGCTTGGGAAACCTTTACCGTTTGCGAAATTAAATGCCCAGTGGGCACCTAAGTACTCCAGGCAACTCCAGAAATTGATGAGAGCCAGAACCGATGTGCCTCACCGGGTCTTCCGTGCCAAGGGCAGGAGCTTTGTTTTGGAAGTGCACCCTTAGTGTACTTTTAGGGGGAAAAAATACAATCTAGAAGTCTTAGAGGAAGCTAAGAACAGGATTTTCCTCATTTTGTGCCGATGCTGCAAGTGACAAAAAGATAAAATAACTGCTGCTTTATAAAGACCCGAATCCCACTTGTCTTTTTTTAAAAATATATTTTATTGATTTTTTTTACAGAGAGGAAGGGAGAGGGATAGAGAGTTAGAAACCACCAGCTGCCTCCTGCACACCCCCTACTGGGGATGTGCCCGCAACCAAGGTACATGCCCTTGACCAGAATCTAATCTGGGACCCTTCAGTTCTCAGGCTGACGCTCTATTCCACTGAGCCAAACTGGTTAGGGCGCACTTGTCTTTTGGAAAAAGATGAAAAAACAACAGAAACTCTTCCTGTTTCCTGGCAGTCACCGGACTATCAGTAACTGCTGCCCTCTTTTTGGATTGGTTTCATAATTGTTTTATCCATCAAGCCCAGATTTATTTAACAAAAAAAAAACCTTGAATTCAGAGTATTGCTAATTTTGGGCAGAGGTCTCAATCACCCAGACTTATTCTTATCCTAGTATGATACTGTGTGTTTCTCCCTCTGGGAGGCACTGGCTATCATCAGCTCTTGGATCAGGGAATAATTGAAGCATTCAGGAGGTATTACACCAAGCATATGTTTGACCACTTTGCTGACTGTATTGAAAAAAACACACCTTGTCTTAATTTGAAAGAAACATGGCAACAAGTACAACATTGCTGATACTTTGGTGGTGATAAAAGAGGCAATGGATGATATAAAACCAGCTACTCTTACTAAAAAGTCTGGTGGAAGCTTTGGGATGATGTTGTGAATGATTATGCGTGCTTCCCTAGAAGACATTGGGGGGGAAAAATCAGAGTCCGCAAAAATGGATGGGCTTTAAATTCATCAATATTGATGAAAATAATAAGTTACTCTAGTTTCAAGTTTTGGTGATAAGAGTATAGATAAGGAAGAAGACAAGTCTCCAGAATTAGAGGTAAAGATGAACCTAAGGAAATTGAATACTGTCTTACACTCTGCCTAAGTCTTCATTGATACTGCAATTAATATGGATCCTTTCCTGGATTGAAATTGGCTTTTAAAAACGGTTTTGATAAATTGTTGTAAACCTTTAAAAAGGTGCAAGAGCACCTTCAAAATAAAGGAGTTGAAGAGAAGGAAGACACATAATATAGAGGAAGTGTGGATGAAGAAGATGGATACAGAATGAGTCTGTAGGGGAGTCTGAGCCTGAGTCTAAATCCTATTAGGAGGAGGAAAAGTTAGAGAATAAGAAGCCTCCAGAGGAACAGTCTGGGCCCTCAAGCAGTGGCACTAAGAATCATACTATATAGCCCTGACTGGTTTGGCTCAGTGGATGGAGCGTCGGCCTGTGGACTCGAGGGTCCCGGGTTCGATTCCGGTCAAGGGCATGTACCTCGGTTGTGGGCGCGTCCCCAGTGCGGGGTGTGCAGGAGGCGGCTAATTGATGTTTCTCTCTCATCGATGTTTCTGGCTCTCTATCCCTCTCCCTTCCTCGCTGTAAAAAATCAATAAAATATATTTTTAAAAAATTATACTATATCTGAAAAATCTGCCAAAACCAGAAATGCAGGATTGGACTTCTGGAATCTAACCTTGGAATGGAATTTAGAAAGATTAAAGGTGCCTTAGTTGAAGAAAGAAGAGATTCCAGAGGCAGTTTCTTCCAAATAACAGTTAATTTCTTGCTATCCTTGCGCTGTTGCCCCAACATCACCTTCATCATGACCATTATTATAATCCATATCATTTAGTTGTTAAACAAGCATTTATAAGCCTAAATTGTGTGGGTTTTGTGCTAAACTTGGGGACATCATCTCAGGATTTAAGGTAAATGGTCATTAACCAGTGGCCTTTCTTAATAAGGTAATAGGTATCCAAGGTCACAGTCTTGAATATAAAGGTTTTCTTAGGACACTGGGCCTCATTTACTGTAACTGTTTTTCCCCAGATATTAAGTTCTTCCATTGCAAATGGAGATTTTCTAAGTTAACAATAGTTGCCATGAGAATACTTGCTCTTGAAATGCTGACATGGTCTTACATTTTACAAAGCACTTTTACATTAATCTACTCTGTTAACCCTCACTTGAGACCTATGAAGGTCTATCAGCCCGTCCTTCACCAAGCCCCTTCCCCCCAAAGCTCAGAGAGGTTAAGTAAGCCGCCTGAGTCTGCACAGCTAATGATGTAAATGATAAGAGTAGGGCTGCAACTGATTTATTTGTCAGACACTGCTAGGAAGTCCATCATTCCTTTGAGAATTCATAGTCCCAGGGAATGGGACAAAACAGGCGAACAGGTAATTTAAAACAAACAGAGGCTGTGAACTGGCAGCCCACAGGCCAGATTTGGCTACCAGATGTGTTTTGTTTAACCTGCTCAGTTTAAAACCGTTTTGAATTGGTTTCCAGTGCCCCCCTAATGCCTTTCTGTTTAAGGTACTATTTACATACAATACAATACAATTCAATTAAAGTGTACATTTCATAGAATTTTTTAACACTTGTGTAACTACCACCAAACCAAGATATAGAACATTCCCTTAATTTTAAAAAGTTTACTTGTGCCTTGTGCACTCAATCCCTTCTCCTGCCATAGGATATTTCACATTAAAAGGCTGGATTAAAAAATTGGAAACCCTGACAACAGTGGACTCTGCGCTTCTGAAGGGCAACAGTTTTTAGCTTGCTGCTTTGCTTATTTGCATCTCCCCACAGTTGATGTTAAATGTTGCAACAGAAGTGTGTGCCAAGCGCCTCAGGGGAACATAGGACCTGGGATTAACTCTGGGAAAGGCTGCACAGAGCAGCTGAGTGCGTTCATAGGGAGAGCAGTTGGGAGCCAGAGTGTTCTAAACCCAGGAGGATTAGAAGGGAGATCCTGGGAGCGGGGGCTGATATGGGGGACAGGAAAGCAGCAGAGGGTATCTCACTTCTTGTTGGCTGGATGGGCTGTATAAAGTGGGAGAGTTTAGTGTCTATGTCTTAGTGTTTGTGTGTTTTGCTTTCTGAAGGTTTTGTATACCCAAGAAACTTACGTCTTTTTATCTGTACATCTCTGGGGATTTTAAGGTATTTTTGCTGTTGTTCTTGGCATGGGAAGGGAAAATTCGTATTTTATTTTTGTAAGGGTTATAGGCCTGCGTGTGGTGCTTGGATTGTATGTTTCTAGGGAGAGGGTTGCCCAGAGAAAATTTCTCACTCTTACCCCGCCCCCTCCACTATCTCGTTCCAACCAGCCTGCCTGGGGCGGGGCAGTAGGGCAGGCAGCAGGTGGGAGGGTGGGGGCAGGGAGGGCGGTTTAGGCCATAAATTCCCGCCCCCTACCGGCAACTCAGCCAGAGGCCACATTCGCTGCTGCTGTGCCGCTAAATTACCGGCGACGCCATGGACAGGCTGGGCTCACGGTGTCCTCTGCCAGGCTACCCTCGGCCCTCTGTCCTTTTATGCCTCCTGGTGAGTGCCCACGCTCCGACCTTACCTCCAACCTGGGAACTGAGGGAAAAAGACACACTTCCCTTTACTGCTCTTGGCATTTTGAGCTGGGGGCAGGCTGGTAGGGGATGGACAGGAAAAGCCCTGGAGGCACCACCCGGTCTCCTGGAGACTGTGGTGTGGTTCTGAAGCTTACTAACTCCCCTTCTTCACTCTGTCAGTAGGGGTGGCTGGGCTGTTTCGTTGCCAGGGAGGTGCAGGAGTATCTATCTGGTGGTAAGTTCTTGTCTAAGGGTCACTTGATAGATTCTTTTCTTTCTGTTGCAGTTACCATGTTGCCTTTATGGGGGCTTTGTTTCTGTCTTAGAAATATCTTAGAATGTTAAGGTTGGGAAGTGACCATTTACAGAGTTATCTCCAGTGGTGGAGGTGGTTCAGGAGGAGATGGAGAGAGTCAGAAGCCTAGGGTCTAGCCCAGCTCTGATGATCACTTTTGGGTGATTTCTACTTCCTTCCGACTCTTATTTCCTCATCTGTAACAATTGGCACATATCAGTGGCTCTTACCCTTTTGGGCCCTGTAGGTTTTCTTGATTTTCTTTCTAGAAAGTTCTGGATTTGTACACAAGGAAACTATAGATAAACACAATGTTGTAGTCTTTCAGAATATTCATGGATTCCTTCAAACTAGGTGGGTTATAAATTTAGGTGGATTATAAACTAGGTGGATTATAAATTTAGAACCAATAGGTGGTTTCTGAGGCCCCCTTTGCCTTAACACAGACTATAAAGTCAACCATAACCTCTTAGAGGCTATGCAAATATTCTAGGACCAAAAAAAAAGGAAAAAGGCAGAATAACATGCAAAAATAACTGAAAGAATACATAAAATACTTTTAAAAAATGTAAAAATAGAAAAGGTATGTAGTAAAAGACAAATAGGAGAATGTTGAGTAGACTTAAAAATTATACCTTAAAATGTTCCTATTAGGCAATATTGTGATATGTATATCTTCCATCAATTTTGCATTCATATAATGTCACTTTCTAATATATTGTAGCCCAACCTTGGTTCCAGGTTGACCTTTCATGCTTCTGACATTTTGTTGATATGGTCCACAAACATTTCTCAAGCCCATACTCCCTGTCAGAATTGTAGAGTGCTGGGAATACAGAAATGAATGAGACTGAAGAGCATATGTCTAATGGAGGAGACATGTAAACAACTATCTGTATTTCAGTGTGACCAGTGGTACAGCAGGAGGATGTTTAGCAGCAATTCTGGCCTCTACCCAATAGATACCCATAGCATCTCTTCCCTAGTCATGAAATAGAAATTACCCCCAGACATTGCCAGATGACCCCTGGAGATACAAAATTGCCTTGAGAACCATTGGGTTAAGTGAAGCTGAATCGACCCCACTATATCAATTCCTAGTTGTGTTCATTGTGGTTCCAAGAGCCATGAATGGGAGGCAGGAGTCTTGGATGTAAGTCTTGGTTCTGTTGCAGAGTTTCTAAATGTTCTGCCTCAGTTATCTTATTTGTTAAATTTAGGGTTATCTTAGATAATACTTGAGAGCACAGCTCTCAGTTTCAGTAGCACAGGTCACATTGCTTTAGAATTAGGCTACTTTTTCCACTAGCCTATCCACAGTGCCTAGCACATATCATATACACATGAATGGAGGGGAGATTAACTCCTCAAACATCAAGAGATATAAGAACTTAGTATTTTGACTTTGAGCTCACCTAAGAGTTTCAATACATTTTGGGTGAGCTTATATTGAATCTTATTAGCTGTGTTGCTAATCTTATTGCTTATTACCTGCTGGCTGGAATGCCCAGATCTTCCCTCAGAATGGATTTTTTGGTTGGGGGACAGGCCATTGTTCCTTTTGTTTGGAGTCTGCTGGAAGCTACCATAGAGTCATGTAGTGGACGCCTTACAGTGTTCCAGTCTGCCCAATTCTCTGTTAAAAGCACTGCTAACAAGACTTGTCTTTTTCACAAGACTATTTAGTCTTAATAACAACATCTTGCTGATGAATTAATTCACTAGTCTGCAAGTATTTATTGAGAACATGCTGTGTGCCATGAACTGTGCTGGGGATACAGTGGTGAGCAAAGCATGAAATTCAATTTTATTGAATTTGTGATTACAAATTATTTTTCCTATCTCCTGTGAACCCATAGCAACTGAGATAGGCAGCACAGTGTCATAATCTCCACTTTCTAGATAAGGTTTATAGAAGGAGAGGTGGTAACTTGTTGAAGGCCACAGGCAGCAGTAGTCACACTAGGATTTAAATCCTATTGTGCACACATACTAAAAGCTTTTGGAGTCTGGGTGTTTTTTTCCTTGCATGGTCACTGGTTTAGTTCAGTGGACTAGTATGTTGAATTGGTGGTTTGGTGGAGGTAGTGGGAGGGAATGAGAAAACGCAACCCTGACAGGCCTGTCGTCAAACTGAAGCTGAAGACACAAAAACACTGCTCAGGCCCTGCCAAGAAGTAGGAGGCAGGACTTAGGCAATAGCATAAAAGGAGTGGGAGGACAGTGGTTTATTTGAGCAAGAAAGAAGCCCTGGGCTGGAGGCAGGAGAAACACCCTCTTGTTCAGCCTGGCTTAAGTCACAGTGGGACTCCTTGCAAGCTGCCTCTCTCTGTTAATGACTCCATTATATTCCCCAAGCAGAGAACCTGGAAAGGAAGGTGTTTTCCAGTTCTTTTCATTTCTTCTTATTTTAAATGTTTATCATTAAAATAGTAAGAAAAATATCTTGAGTGCCTTTTCCTTTCACGTTGTCACTGCTATCATCTTAGCTTCAAGTCTTTTTCCTGGATTATTGTAATGGCCGTGTAAGTAGGCTATCATTGGTCATTCTCCCTCCTCCCTCCTGGTAGCCTACTCAGCTTCACTATATTATTACTCTGCTACTTAAAACCTCCAAAAATACCAGACCACTTGAGTACAAACTCCAGACTCCTTAGCCTGACCCTTTTCTCTATAGTTGTAGCCAGTTTCATTTCCTCCTGACCTCATACCCACAGACTAAGACCCATGCAGACTATAACTCATCTATCTATCCCTTAACACCTCTTGAGTTTGTACATATTACTATTTGCTTAGCATGTGTCCCTCTTCTCTTATAATCCTACTTCTCATTCCAGATCCAACTTAGATGGTACCTTCTCTTCCAAGCCTTTTTCTGCTCCCTCAGGTAGAGCCTTCCTTATGGTACCTGAGTGCTCAGTTTAGTAGCACAGGTTGCATTGCTTTAGAATTAGGCTACCCTTTCCACTAGCCTACCCAGTGCCTGGCACATATACAAATGAATGGAGGTGAAGGTAACTCCTCAAACATCATTAGATGTAAGAGCTTATCATTCATTATAATCTCCACAGGGTGATAGTTCAGTGGATACCAGTTGGCATTACCTCCATCGGAATGGATTTCCCATCATCCAGACTTGAGTCCTAATCCTGGCTTCAACCAAATAAAAGCTTTGTGATTTTGAACAAGCTTCTTGATTTCTGAGCCTGTTTTTTTTTAATCATCTGCAAAATGCAGAGGTAAATATCTAGACAGAACTTGATTGAAGTACTAAAGCTCAAGATCCCAGGAATTATTTTTTTGGATGGGGAATGGGTATGAAAAAATGATGCTCAACCCTGGTTCCAATCTGCTTGAGCAGGAGATAGCGAATTGTCGTGTCACTGCTGACTTGTGCTTTTTCCCACCATTTAGATCCTGACAGCTTCTTTCCTGACTTACCCCATGCTCAGGACCCTTAGCCTGCAGCTCCATTCAGCTGTCACTGGCAGTTATGTCTCCGGCACTTACTCCATCGTCTTTGTCAACTGTCCCAACGAGCAAATTGCCAGAGATATTGCCAGGTATGGTAAAGGCACTTAGGTGCTGCCCCAGGAGGCTCAGGGAGCTACCAGGATGCTATCTGGGGCCACTTTTAGGCCCTTCTTCTGCTTCTGACAATCCTGTCCATCCAGTGATGAACTACACAGCTGAATGATTTGAGGGATCCTGCTGCTGAGCCTAAAATGTTGAGTGGTGTGTGTGGGGGCATATAAGGAGACGAGACCCAGAGGGATGTATGGCTTATCCAAGGTGTTAAGAGAACAGTGGAAATCCTACCTGTTGAGAATTTAAGTCTCCTCATTCCTGGCCCATCTGTCTTTCTTCTTGGAGATACTCTCTTTGCTCAGTCCCAGAGGTGCTCACTATGACAGTGAGGAGGAGGAGGAGGCAGTCATTCTAAATATTTAGAAAATTTCTAGAAGCAGCTGTGTTATGGTGGAAGAACACTGGACTTGTAAGCAGACCAGAGTTTCAGTCTTGGCTCTACCACTTACCGTATTAACTTGGGCAAGTCACTTCCCTTCTTTAAGCATTAGTAATTTGAATGTAGTAGGTGCTCAATAAATGTTTGTGGTGTCTGGATTTTGCCCCCTTCATTTCTCTTTATAGATGCAGCTTTGAAGAGGGTTAGTGGGACTGGAGGATAATGGATTTGGCTCCTTGATCCCTTTCTTCTTGATCCAAAACTCAACATTCTTGAAGTTGATGATAGACTAGGTTATAGTGTTTTCAAATGTTGAATCTGGTCTTTGGGAGCAAACAGCCTCCATATTGTTGATCACAGGTTAGCCTTGCATTTGATTCCATCTCTCTTTCCTCCAACCAGAATGTGTATTTTTCCCTCGTTAACATTACCTTTGAAGAACAGCTCTTATCTAAAAGAACTATAATTATTCCAGAGATACCCATGGTATTTAGTAGCTAGGAATTGAAATCCCTCCTGATACTCCTGCTATACCGAGGGTCTATACTGAACTCTTTTCTCTGGACTCCTGGACCAGACACTCTGGGTCCTGTTAAGGAACAGCTTCAGCTGACATCTGTGAAGTTCAGTCTTGGGAGGAAATTCATCCTAATGGCTGGATTCCAACTAGTTGAAAGGCCAGTTCAGGTAAATGGATCGGTATCAGCTTGGAGAGAGATCTCTATTTTCTACTTGCATCCAAGGTTGTTGATGAGCAGTCAGGTGTTTATCAGGGGTTCATTCATTTGCAGGAAATATTTTTTCTCTCTGATAATTTTTAGGATTCTCTGTTTATCTTAATGTTCAGCTATTAATTTGTTAACTATTCTTTCTATATTCTTTCCTTGTCTGCTCCTTTATTCTGCATACTGGGACAATTTCTGAGCCCATTCTTCTCTCTTATTTGTTTCTCATTTGTATCTATTTTTCTATTCAACCCCTCTATTGAGTTTTTTGTTTAAACGATTAGTTTTCCTTTTCAGGATTTCTAATTATTCTTTCATAACCAACTACTCGCGTTTCATAAATATCTGATCCTATAATCGATTTTATTTTATGGATGCAATAATCTTGCCTTATCTTTCTGTAGATATTAATTATACTTATTTTATTTTTAATTTTTCCAGCTTTATTGAGATAGAATTGACATATAACATTGTTTAAGTTTAAGGAGTACACATGATGATTTGATACTTGTATATATAGCAAAATGATCAGCACAATAAGATTAGCGAGCACATCCATCACCTCACACAGTTACCTTTTTCAGGAGTGAGAACTTTTAAGATCTACTCTCTTAGCAACTTTCAAGTAGTTGTAATTATGTATATAATTATAGGAATCTGAGATTATACTTATTTTTAAATCTTGGTGTGTTTTTTTTTGTGTGTGTGTGTCGAGGGCTGACTTTCAATAGATCGCAGCGAGGGAGCTGCTTAAATCTTGGTTTTGAATGTACTGTTAGCTGGTCCTCTTATGTAAATTCATTTGTTGAATTTTTGTTTCTCTTGGTATTGGCTTTCCTCAGATGCTTTGTGATTCTTAAGTGTAACCTCTCATCTTTTTAGCTATGCTGGTGGGGAGTCACGGGAACAGCTACAAGGAATGCTATTCGCAGCACTGTTTTCAGTGTGAGTGTGGTTTGGGGGGACATTCCACAGACTGAGGTGCCCTAGTGACTGGTCTTCTGGGTATGAATTCTCCCTTTTATCCTTGGCCATCACCAGCTAGTACATTGTTTTGCCTTTCCCCCCAAAGTGCCTACACTTACTGCTCCTTCCTGGAGACAGACACCCCATTTTTGCTGTGGGGCCATGGGAGGTTTGGGGCATCCACCTGCTCCTGCCATGGCATTCCGGCAGTTCACCTTGCTGGTTGCCTCCAGTTCCTGCCTGCTCTGGTTCCCATTGCCCCAGGTACAGACTGTTGCTCTTATCTCTGGGGCAGGCCCCCTGTGTGCTCCCTTGCTGTGTCTCGGGGCTGCCTTTTATTCTTTGGGGCTTCCTCATAGTTGCTGTTACATGAAGCGTTCTCGTTACTGTGTTCTAAAAATCTGAAGGGGCGTCTTTAGTGATGTGGTTATGAGGCAATGGATTTTTTTTCTAGAGGTTTAACTCACTTCCTGTGTTTGCATGCCACCTTCAGAACTAATAAAATGTAATTTCTCAGCAAATGATTGAGGGAGCAAGACTCGGCAGCAGTTGCTTAAACACATTTGTGCCATGTGCCTCTCCTTATGGTCAGGGATTTATTTAGCTCCTAGAACTTTGCAGAGGAATGAGGTGGTGGTGATGCCACATTAATGTGGAGCCTTAAATAGAGAGCACTGTTTAACCTGGAACCCAAGGGAAGAGAAAGTAGGTCGGTTCTCTTGGCAGCAGCTGGAGGAAGGAGGGAACAGTGAGCAGAGCTCAGATGAAGTTTATTTGGCAAGGCCTGATTCTGAGGGCTTGAGGTTTGATATTTGGGGACACTTCTTTGCATCAGTGACTTGGTGGTGCTCCTATTTCTATGACACCTGTACTAGTTCAAGCCCTTTGTACGTGTATTGTGTTCACCAGGGTGCTACATAGGAATCTGAGATTATCAGACCAGGAAGTCCAATCTGTGGTCTGTCAAAAAAAAAAAAAAAAAAAGTCTTAGAGGTCTGCAAAGGTGATGATCATGTGCTTAGGGCTATGATAGAAACCTTTACAAAAAAAGGTGAAACGAGCCTATATTTGCCAAAGACAAACACAGTTATGATGCCTTTCTGTTTTTATGTGGAGCTGTGTGGTCACATGGGTGTCTAAAGATCAGAAGCACCGACCGCAGCCTGATACATACCTGTGGGATAGAAGCAGAGGTGGCATAATGAAAGGAGTTCTTGGTGGTGAAAGGGTTGGAAGCTACTGGTTGAACCATTTTCTCATTGTACAGCAGGAGAGTAGGGTTGAGTGAGGGGACATGCCTGTCTTGGAGAGGTGCTTAAATACTTATTCCTGGAATGAGAAAGAATTTGCATAAGGTCACACAGCCATACTACTGCAGGGCCAGGAAAAGATCCTGGTCTTCTTCTTCTCTGTCCAGAGTTAATCCCTATTCCCCAGGCAGACTGGGCCTGTCATTAAAAGTGCCTGGAGTTTGCGGCGGGAGGGGGGGGCGGGGGGGGCGGCATTCTAAATGATTATCTAGCTCCCAGGAATGCCTCTACCTTGTTCCTTCTCTTAAGGTCCTGGACACTTGCCCCATTGACTGTCACTCTCTTTGCTTTAGGGCTATACTGGATAAGAAGCTGGCTGCCTCTGTGAACATCCTGCCCAAGGCATCCTCATTGTGAGTTTTGCTGTGGCCAGTGGAAGGTCAGGTCCTAGCTGGTGGGATGGGTACTGAACTAACGGGGAATTGTGAAAGAACATCTCAGACGCATTTAATTAATCAACACTTCACTGTTGAGTTGTATTCAAAGGAAATGAACCAGTGTGTTTATGTCATCCTATGAACAAAAGCAAAAATGTGCTGTGTGTGTATAGAGAAAGGAGGGGAAAACCTCTAGTTTAGGAACAGTGAGTCCTGCTTGCATATTCTTTGTTTAAATTAATTAGTTTGCTGTTAGCAGGGAAGCCAGAATGGGCATTCCATCCCTGAGCGAGGCAAGTAGGGCTATCAAAGGAGATAGTCTCCATTGCTTTTAGATTCTTTGGGAAACCGAGAGTTTGGCATGTGACAGGCTGTTTCTGTGCCTTGCCTATCTTTCATTTCATTGACACCTTTATTTTAGTTAAGTCTGGTCTGTCCCATTTCTTTCATTAAAATAGTTTAGCATCCCACTACACCTTGTGCAGCATTTGTCTTGTGCCTTAAACGCTCTGATTAGCCTGTTCCTCATCTTCCCTCCTGGAAAGAGAGAGAATAAGAGCATGGGGTGGGGAGAAAAAGGACAGATGGGGAAGAAAATAATATCTACTCTGAAGGTCAAAACAGAAAAATGCTATATAGTTAAAGCTCCCCCCACTTGCCAACATTGTCATTGCCTCAGTGGCTCACATCATTTATTGCTGTGGCTCCCAAGTTTGGCTGTGCTTCCAATTCCTGAGCTCCGTTCTAGGTCTACACAATCAGTCCCTCTGAGGGTGGGGCTTGGTTCTTTGAATTTTTAAGAAGTGGAATAGGTGATTCACATAAAGCCAGTCTGGGAACCAATGCTTGGGACCTAGAACAGAATTTCAGCCTGGAATTCCCTTCAGATGGCCTATAGTTGATCCTTTTACCATGGCTCTGTGAGGCAGGGCCAGTGGCTTAGGTCATCTTAGATTTCCCCTGGGTTAGTGTAGATATTCTCAGGCCAAATTTCTTTTCCTTCCCTTCACATGATGCTGTTCTCATACTCTTTTCTGAATGTCATCACTGACTTTTAACCTTTGGACTTGTTTCCATGTCTTGTAAGGCTCACTTCTTCCCTGAAGCCTCCTCTGCTTCTTATTTATCCTTTCATGGGCACTCAACATTGAGAGTCAGTGGTAAAAGTAGCCTTATTCCACGCCCTAACCGGTTTGGCTCAGTGGATAGAGCATCGGCCTGAGGACTGAAGGGTCCCAGGTTCAATTCTGGTCAAGGGCATGTACCTTGGTTGCGGGCACATTCCCAGTAGGGGGCGTGCAGGAGGCAGCTGATCGATGTTTCTCTCTCATCGATGTTTCTAACTCTCTATCCCTCTCCCTTCCTCTCTGTAAAAAAAATCAATAAAATATATTTAAAAAAAAAAAAGAACTTAAAAAAAAAAAAGTAGCCCCATTCCATAGGATGGGGAGGGGCCTGGAAGCCATGAGTATAGAATAGTGTTGAAAAAGCCAGAGATGCCCAGTTTGGAGGAGAGAAAACGTAGGAGTTTCTGTACAGCAGGAGAGTCAGGTTGACTCTCCTGAGGTGGTTCTCCATATGGAAGTTGGGGAAAACAACTGGGTGGCAGATGTTGGCACACCATTAGAAAATCCACCTCATGTGAAAACCTTTAAGGTAGATGGACTTCTTCAAGCAATGGCCAGCCTCTCACCTCCAGGAATGTTCAGGCAGATGCTAGAAGCATGCATTAGAATGATTGGACTAGATGACCTGTCATGCCTTGGCCAACTGTAGACTTCTTTATGTGGACTTGGAAAGATTTTAAAGTTTCCACCTCAGTAAGTCACCTAACTGGGCCAGGTTTGACATTTCAGTGGGCTTGTTTTGTGAGCATCATACTTTGGTCTTGTTCTCGTCTCCAGGTACTTTTGGAATGGAGAAATAGAAGAAGCCACTGAGATCCTGTTGGTGAGTGAAGTTGGGTTTGGGGATGGGCCTTGATACGGAAAGAGTGAGAGCATGGCCTTTTTCCCAGGTTCCAATGAAAAGTTAGCAAAGATCAACTGATTGAGGTTCTTGCCTTAGATTCATTTGCAGGCTAGTGACAGGGCCTGACCTAGAGGGAATGCTGTCTCCTAAATAGCCAGATGAGAAAATGAGCAGCTGCAGAGCTGGGCTGAGGTAAAGCAGTGGTTTTTTTTTCTTTTACAGTTAATAAAGACAAAGACTTCCAAGGTCCGCATGCTGTCCAGCTATGTCAGGTAATACTGGCGTCTCTTCTCAGCCAGGACCGTTCTAGGGATTAAGTGAATGAGTGTGGAAAGCAGGAAACCTAGTCACAAACCTTCCATAGACCCTGGACAGGTGCCTGTCCCTCAGATTCTCCGTATGTAAAATGAGAGGCTAGAGTGAGTTAGTTTAAATCAGCAGTTCTCAAAATTTTGGTCTCAGGATTCCTTTACACTTTAAAAATTTATCAGGGACCTAAAAGAGCTTTGTTTATGTGGGTTATATCAAAGTTAACTATGTTAGAAATTAAAACTAAGAATTTTTTTAAAATTAACAATAATAAAACCATTACTTATTAATGTTGTAAACAATGCATTTTTATGGAAAGTAACCATATTCCACCCCCCCCCCCAAAAGTGAGAAGAATGGCATCATTTTACATTTTTTGAAAATATGGCTTAATAAGAAACATCTTTAAGTATTGGGACACTTGGAAAGCTCATGGTGATAAATTCAAGTTTTCCAAACTTCTAATTTTTGTTTGAAAACATAATTTTTTTAAATTGGCAACACATGATGTAAATTGTCTTCAAGTGATGGACTCACGTTGTTCATGTCTGAGACAGTGTCTACCTAATCCTCAAATTTGAGTAACCGTAATTTGTAAAAATGACAGTTTACAGTAACTCAGGCTTAAAAATGGTGTTCCATGAGAAAGTCTGGTTTTAGCTTGTGACTCAGTCAGACAAGTGTAGGACATATTGAATTTAGGCACGAGCACGGTGCTTTCTGTATACTTCCCATGTTGTCACACAGGGCTAAAAATACATGTACTCAAGGGTCAAAACGGAATAAAAATTGTAATTTTTACCACTTTGTCAAGGATGTTCTTAAGTGAATTTGACTTTATGCAAGTGCAGGTGTGTACAGTTTGGTGCCATCGTCTTGATGCATGTGCTAAGGTGCCAGCAGTTTTACCCATCATCACTTTTGCATCATTAGTGCAAATGTCAACACAGTGAAAAGATAAATAACAAATTAGCATTATTATGAACTAATGGACTCATGGAACTCCTGAAAGAACCTTGGAGTTGCCCAGGGGTCAGTGGGCCTTACTAGTTTCAAGCCCTACCATTCAAAGTGTGGTTCTGGAATAATTGGCATCGCCTGAAAGCTGAATAGAGCTGCAGTCTCATGTTCACCCTAAACCTATTGAACCCGACTGCATTTAACATGATCCCCAGGTGATTCCCATGCACGTTAAAAGCTTGAGAAGGACTGGTCTAAACAATACTGGCTAATAACTATAATCCCTTGGAGGTGTCTTTCAAATTACCAATTTAAACCCCACTTCAGATTGGGACTTAATTGATCTAAAATGGGGATCAAATGCGTTCTTCAGAAGCACCCGGATTGACTCTGATGTGAGGCTAGGATGCAAGTTACTTACTGGATGATGAAACTATTTTCCTTCACTCCCACCAGGATCCTGTGAATAGATGGCTATACCCGGGCCTCAGAGCTAGCGGTAGAGAAGGCCCTGTGTTACCACCTTAGCAGAGGTGGGGGAACAGGCACCTTTGGTAGAATCGGCACTACCAAGAAATCACAGCTTATCTGGTGAGGGACAGCCTCATGGTTAAGATGGTGAAACCCAGAGCTTAACCTCCAGCGTCAACTCTTGACTCTACTTGCTAGGTGTAGCTGAAGTGTATGCAAATTAGTTATACTTTCTGTGCCTCAGTTGCCCATCTATAAAATGTGGGCCATAATGGTCCCTTGGGATGAATGTATGTGAGGTAGACACATGAAGCGCTGCACCAGTGGCAGCTCTTACTGCTAACGTGTTACAAATGTCCTACTCTCTCTGAATACTGTATTTTTGCTTATAAAAACACATACACTGGTCCAGGTGTCCGTGAAATAAGAAAATTAATTGTCCTGGGGCACCAGGTAAAATTACCCAGCTTACCCTAAACGTGTAAGCACCTGGGCACATGCTGTGATGCATGTGTCTCGTTCTGCAGGAAGGAAGCAGAGGATTATGACTCCCTCTGACAGATGGGAAACTGAAGCCCAAGGCCTCATGTTCCTTTAGTCTGGAAAATGAAGAAAACTTGCATGGTGTGCTGAGGGCCAAGTGAAAGAAGCGGGGAAAGGGAGAGAGGTTCCTGTGGGTTTGGATGTCAAGAGAAATCCCTTGGAAAATGTCAATGGTTGTTTGGTCTTGAGGGATCAAGAGGATTTTGATTGATGAACAGGAGCAGGGAGAACTTTCTAGGTGGAGCAGAGAATACAGCTGTATCGGGGTGGGTGGTGTTTGGGGAAGGCACAGTGATGAGTGTGGGATAGTAATAGAGGCAGCAGCTAACATTCAGTGAATGCACAGTACCAGTCAGTGTACCAGCTAAGTGTTGTATGTACCTTGTCTCATTTAATCCTCAGTGATCCAGTCATGTAGGTGCTATTTTCATTCCCTCTTTTGTAGGCCTTTAGAGAAAGTAAGTGATTTGTCCATGGTTAAATAGCTAGTAAGGGGCAGACTTAGAATTTGAACCCATGTCTGTGAGACTGTAAAGCTATCTGGCCCAACTCACCACTGTAGATAGGGGTGGTGGGTTATGGAGGTGGACAGGGGATGCAGCAGATTGCAGAGGCCTCAAGGGAGGCTGGCCTGCTGGGTTTTATCACCTCACTGATGCTAATCATAGTCACTCACAGGACTCTGCTCTCTTCCCAAAGGTTGGTGCATCCTTTCGAGATCCCAGAGGTCTTCAGTCTTCCTATGGACCAAGGAGATGTGCACTATTTGAAGTGGCTGGAGGAGGGCATGGAGGAGGACTGAGGGGGGCGGCCTTCTGTGAATCCTGCTGGCTTCATCAGCTGCACTCTGGGGAAAGGAGGCCTCTTTCTGCCTCCCAGCATCTCTGGATTCCTTGTTTTTGTCAGCACAGAGGAGCTAAGTAACTTGTAGAGGATGAAGGGCCAAGGCTCCTGAGGCTATAAGAGGACGCTGGGCCAATCGGGCCACGCAAGAACCCATGGAGCGTGTCTCTGAGTGCTTCTTGCCTACAGGTGGCCAAGGTGAGGGCAAGGAGGGTGTGCGGGGGACAAGGGGAGGTGGCAGTGAGGGTGAGGTTTGTCATCGGCAGCAGTCACTGGGCCACCTCAAGTGTCGGGTGGAATTACTCTCCTGGTTTTCAGAAGGAGAAATAGACCTGGTGATCTGTTTACCTAGAAGTGTGTGGGTTGAAGGTCACCTTCTGGAGGAACTGGCAAGCACTTTATTCAAAAGGATGGATTGTGAATGGTGCAATTTCAGGGACAAGCAAGATTATTTCTCCTAGCTAAGGGTGGCACTTGTTATTCCTGAGTCCTGAGTAGTGGGTCCAGGAATGGGCTTCAGGAGTGTGTGTAGGACTGGGGAGATATTAGCACTTAGATACAGCTCATGGGTTGGGAATACGTCTTGACCTTCCTAGCCTGAATGTGACCGGCATCAGAAGGTTCTGGTGCCTTGCTCAGTGGAGACAGGCTGGCTCAGTGGAGCATTGAAACTGAGCATCCTAAAGCAGAAAGAACCCTGGGGAACTTCCAGACCAGTGTTTCTGACTTGCCCAGAGGTTGACAGAGGTATGGGGATTGCCTGCCCTTCTCCACCACCTTCAGCCAGTGCAACAGAACTGTTTATTTTAATGTATTGAACTCACATGAGATTTGTGAAGCTTTTAAAAAAGTTTTCATCAAAAGTTATAAACCAGTGATTTAAGCCCGTCTCCACTTTATAGGTTAAGTAGAGGAAATTGAACTGCACGGAGGTCCAGAAAGGGAGTGGCGTGCTGTTACTAACGGGACAGCCAGGCTGCCTACCCTGTGTCTGGTGCGCTCCTATCCCTGCTCCTTCCCAGGTGGAAGAGGGCATGGAAGGCCGAACCCCCAACTCTGATTCTAAACTTGATGCTGTTTACTGCCTCTTCCGAAGAGGTTGGATAATATCCCTTTCAGAGAGCCTGCTGCAGCCTATTCTAAAGGAAGATTTTTTAGTTCTTCATCTATGTGGTAAGTGGGTCTGGCACTTAAAAACATATTGCATTGCCTAATTCTACCCACTGATCTGGAGGTAGGTGATACTATCTTTATTCTGTACATAAGAGGATAGATTTAGAGTTCACTGATTTTTAGGGTCTGCATGACTCCACCTTGCATGGTTTGGGCTCTACCACAGTCCTCCCCAAACGGTGCTGTGGAGCTGGGGCCGGGACCTAGACCAATGTTTCTACATGGGATGCCTTCCCAGCATTTCTCAGGACATGTACGTGTTTTGAATCAGGAATCTCCAGAAAAATCAGTTCAGGAAATGAGAAAAAATCTTAAAATTATCTGTGAATACGGAAGCTTAAAAGCATAGAGACATTACTGGTTTGAAGGAATCCATCAAATAAAAATGTAAGAGCAAGAAACGCCAGCAAGCGGAGCCGAAGGTTAGGAGAAGCAGGGCAGGAGCATGTCGGAGAGAGATGGCTACTGTCTAATCAGTCTTGCTTGTGATTGTTCTGTCATAAGTGTTATCTTGCAAATAAAATACGTTTATACAAAGTATACTTTATACAAATTCTATGAGCAGTGTGCCAAGTTAAAAGCTTTCAAAGCAAAATAAATTCTTACTTTAGCATTTTTGACACGTGATTCTTATACTGTTCACCTTGCCAGGATATTTGAATGTTACATGATTTGAAAACTATCCAGTAATGTCCCCTGGTTCCGGGGTTTAAATATTCCCTCTAGGCTCCAGTTCTTTGTAAATACAACTAAGCTTGATATTATTTGTTAAACAATTTTTTCCAGATATTGATAACAATAAGGAAAGAGTATAAAGAATGAAGTATTGCCCTAACCGGTTTGGCTTAGTGGATAGAGCGTCGGCCTGTGGACTGAAAGGTCCCAGGTTCGATTCCAGCCAAGGGCATGTACCTTGGTTGCGGGCATATCCCCAGTGGGAGGTGTGCAGGAGGCAGCTGATCAATGTTTCTCTCCCATTGATGTTTCTGACTCTCTATCCCTCTCCCTTCCTCTCTGTAAAAAATCAATAAAATATATATATTTTTTAAAAAAGAATGAAGTATTTTAAGAATAATTTGATGATTTAGGGAATTTCTGAGAATTCGAATTTCTTGCTCCTAAAGATTACTATTTGTTGTAGGTTTGTAAACACTAACCCAGACCACAAAGAACCAGGCCCTCTCCAGCTTGGGGAGGACCACTGTTCCCAGGAGGGTCTATTTAGCTGCTTACTGTAGAACTCGAACTAGAAGCCAGGGCTCTTGACACCTGTGCCATTCACCATCTTTCCATTCCATCAATGTCAGCTCAAAGAACAATCCCTACATCCCCCACAACACCCCAGCTCCAACTGTGGTTTTGTCCCAAGGCAGTTCAAAGGTTGAAAGCGAAAGGATGGTAGATAAAAGTGGAAGCCATAGTTAACGAAGATTTTTAAGGGCAGATGTGAACACTTACGGGAATTAACAGGCTACACTTTACCCCTGAAACTACAGAATTCAGTTAGATCCTTGGTCGTCACCTCCCTATAGCTGATTTTTTCTCTCTCCAAACTTCCCCAAATGTAGAGTTTTTTAAAGTAATAACCCATCATATTTATATGTGAAAGGATTCCCTCTCGACACCAGGGAACTGAATCCAGCAGGGATTAGCTCTGCCATGGAAAGGGAGAGGAACTGAAGCAAAGGACTCAGACCAAAGTGGTGCAGGTTCAAACCAGCAGAGCCACGCCCAGAACTCACTCTGCATCGCTAGGCTTGTGTGCACGGAATAGCTTATAGTGCCTGTACTTACGTATTTTAATAGGGGCAACTTCTGAGTTCACTTCCCATCCTTTACTTCTCTGTTGCCCTCAGCTAATGTCTTTTTCCCCCAGTGGTCAGATACTCACAGTAGAAAAAAGGTCCCACATCCTCTTGGTGGTAAGGGTGAGGATACTGCTGAGAGCATTCGTAGGCAGTGGCAGGAGTGGCAGGGTGGCCAGGGAGAGGGTGGGTCCCACCATTCCTCCATCTCCAGGGAACCAAGACCAGAAACCAGAGCCAATTCCTCCTGCTACCCAACTGCTGATAGTTCACTGGGGGAGATAGGCGACTTCTCAAAGGGAGCTTTCAAATGGTAAGTCAGACACATTAATTAGAACTTTAATATAACATGTTATTAAAAGCAGCAATTCAAAACCATAAATCTTTAGAAGGTGCACAGGATTATCATAAGGTCAGTTGGCAGTAATGCAGCTATGATCTGGCACGAATGAAAGGCTGGGGCACGGAGTCAGCACAACCTTGCGAGGCTTTATACTGACTTCCCAAGTGGGGAAGATACCCTTCCCCTCCTTTTCCTCTTCAGCTCAGAGCCTCTCTGGAGCTCAAGTAGAGACGGTGCATCTGTGACAGGCCTGGCTCGTCCTGTGCTTTCTCAGAAGCCTGGAGAGCAGGCCTGGGAGGTTGCTATGCTCTCTGAAGCCAGGCAGGAAGCCACAGATCGAGCAGGGTGCTGCCTTCTCAGCTCCCCTTCCACCTACCCCCAGTTTGGGGTTTTGGTGGCAGCAGCTATGGGGCTGAGAAGGGAGACCCGGGCCCAACCTCAGATCATCCCTGTCTAATCCACACCAGGGAAACCACCTCCAGACCACCCGTCTGGTCCACACCAGGGAAGCTAGGGGAAGTGAGGTCCCATCAAAAAGGCACTGTCGAAGCTGAGGCTTAAGGCAAGGGGCATCTGAACTATCCAAGGGACCCCTGGAGGCTCACAGGTGGGGAGGGGGTCAGCCTAGAATGGAAAAACCATCCCCTCACGGTTCATCCACCTTAGCTTAGCAGCTGGCAGCCTGCAAAGCCCAGCCAAGCTGAAGGCCATGCAGCAGTTGGCAGGTCCGGTCCCCATCTGGTGCACGGCCCCCACCCCGAGGCAAGGCACGTTGTTCCATTTTTCAATCAAGTGAGTCAGTTTCTAATATTTCTGGAAGCAGCAAAAATGAGGGGTCCCCTCCCATTTTTGGTTTCCCTCCAGATTGGTATGAGTTTTAATGTTGGTTCTAAGAATTCTTTTTATCTCCCGCTGACAAGGGCTTCTCTTTGAGGGGACTGAATGACACAGGCCCTTTAAAACTCCCAACCTGTCCCAGAAAGTGATTGTCAGTTCAGGGTGGGGGGGCAAGGGATACAGCAGAGGAGCCAGGGGGTAAGTCCCCTGTGCTTCCCAATGGGGTCAGAGCTGGGTCACGGGCTGAAAGAAGGGGCAGGAGCTGTACTTTCACATTTAGTTGCAGCACATGGTCCCTGGAAGAGGGCCAAGGGAGAGCCAAAGGCAGGAGCCAGGCTGTCACTAGAGGGGAGTGTGAGAGTGTGTGTGTGTGTGCCTGGAGGGTGAGAGCACATGTGGATGGAAGCTTATGTGTGAGTGAATGTGTACTGAGCTGCGTGTGTGGTGGTCTGGAGTGGGAGGCGTCAGAAACAGTGGGAGGTTTAGCAGGACATGCCTTCCTTTCCTCCCACTCCCCTTCCCCGTCTCAGGTTTTCAAGGCCACCCCTATTCCAGCAAGGCCAGGCCCACTCCATGGTCACCAAGAGGCAGTGTAGCCAAGGAAAGGAAACTGGGACCCCGGAAGCTGACACCTTAGCCTTCCCTCCGAGCCTTCATAGGGCTCTGGTGCTGGTGCCTCTGAGGCAGAGACACTGGACTCTCAAGGCCTGAGGAGTGAAGAGGCCGGTCTCTGCCTCACAGGCTCTCAGAAGCCTCCTATCCTCACCACCATTTCCAAGGATCGGGAGGGACGGGGGCGGGGCAGGAAAGTGGGAGAGAAAAGCTCCCACCATCACCCACTTTCTCAGCGGTTCTTGTTCTGCCCTTATCTGGGCTCGTGTGTGTAGTTACACAAGGGACAGCATGCATGTGTAGGTGTCTAAACACACACCCCCAAAAGGGGAGAGAGAGGTAAGTGACACAAAATCGGGGACAAAGACAGATTCAGGCTTCAGGAAAAAGCATCCCAGAGCCAGGGCGACCCACATTGGAAGGAACAGGTGAACAGTCTGAAGGAGTGCAGAGTGTGCGGGGACACTGCGACCTCAGAGACACGGGCAAAGGGGTGATGAGCCTGAGGCCCGAGGCAGAACGGCAGAGCGGAGGCACAGGAGGGCCTGGGCCAGGCACCTGCAGCTCTGTCTTGCTTCCCTCCCCGTCCCCTCCCTGAAGAGAACCTGGGAGCCTGCGGCTTCCACCGTCTCTTTGCTTCCAGGGCTCCTGGCACCCCCTGTGGGCTAGTCAGTAAGGGGTGGTCCCTTCCCACTCCACCAGGTACTGAACCTTGCCCTCGGGCGTGACCCTCCGAGCCAGCACCTGGTACTTCTCCCCACAGGCCAACCGCCCAGCCGCACCAAAGTAGTTAGTGATGGATGACTTGAGGTGGGACAGGGATGAGTCGTCCTCACTGATGCTCTCAAACGTGTGGCTGTCAATGCTTTCGTCTGCCCTCTCGGGGCCCGAAGCCCCCTCGGCCCCGCTGTCCGAGGGGCAGCGTCCACTCAGCTCGGCTGCCCGCCGCTTTGCCCGCAGTGGCGTGTAGGCTGTGGCTGCCAGCTTCCTCTTCCGGCTGCCCACTGTCCGTCTGGGTGGGGGGAGCAGAAGAGGGGAATGAGGGGGAATACTCACAGGCCTTCCCCTGAGCACTCCCCTGAGCACAGGCCCTGGGCCCCCCCACCCCCCGGCGTGGATCAGTCCACTGGATCCTCACAACA